CTCTCTCTCTCTCTCTCTCCCTCCCTCCCTCCCTCCCCCTCCCCCCCCCTTTCCCCGTTGGGAACAGGGAAGCCGTGCAGCGGCTTTCCCCCAAAACACACGCCCCCTCCCTGTCAACTGCATCGGACTGGAAAGAAGCTTGTATACATTCAATATCATGGTATTATTGTTACTTATTATTATTGTTTTCTTTTTCATTATTTATTTACTCATTATATTTTTTGTTGTCATCGATCTTCCTACGGCTCCTGTAGATGAATCTATCCCTGATTACGGGGCGCGTTCATTACCAAGGTAGACATTGTATCTAGCTATGGTTGGAGTGTGCACTGACTTAGGAGTGGCGCACCGCACAGGTGCGTTCAGGGCGGGAAAGGCCTGTTTCACTCGGAGGGAGAAGACAACCGAGGTTGGAGAAGGAGAGGGTGACGACGAGAGAAAAAAGAAAAGGAAGGAGGGGGAGATGATAAAAGAGAAAGAGAGTGGCAGAGGACGAAGGAGTTTACCTGGCCTGCTGGGAGTTGTGATTGTGATGGACACTTTCCCCACGTGTGGGTTGTGGTTTTTCTTGCTGGCTATTCCTCTTTCTTCCTGTCTTTGGGCATACTCACACTGCTACGTTTTTGCGAATTTTTTTGGACAGAACTGTGGCCAGATACATCCAGGTATGGCGTGAATGTGGTCAGATACATTTGAGATACTGCTAGTGTGAGTATGCCCAAAGGGGGCTCGTCTATGGCCTGAATCAGGGCCAGGTACATGAGCGTGGCGAGCCTTTTTTTTTTTTTTTTTTTTTTTTTTTTTTTGTCCTTGTCCACCAAATTCTCTGCAATTCCAGCATCAGAGCAGGCGGCATCTCCTTCATCAACTCGTCATCGCTGTCGCTGAACATCCGAGCCTCCCATTTCGTCAGCAACTGTTGCGTCATTCGAAGGCTGTCCCTCGTGGAATTTTCTCCTTCTCAATGAACCTGAGAAGCACAGCGAGTCGATCTTGAACATCGATATTCCACTGGCTGCACTCAAAAATGATGGTTAAGATGTGAGCAATGATGAATCCGAGCAAAATTGAACAGGCGATGCCATTCAGAATACCAAATAGACTTTCAGCGGTCGTCACTGAAGGGTGAATATCTCCATAAGCGGCCCAGTATAACGCAGCGAGGCGAGCCTTATTATGGGAAGTTGAGTATGGGGAAAAGTGACAAGGAGGGAGGAGACAGGAAAAGGTCAAGGGGAAAGAAAGGAGAAGAAGCGTGGTCGAGAGGGAGTGGAGTTGTACCTACCTGGCGGTGTGAGAGAGAGAGATAGCACACCATCACTCAGTTCAGTCGTCTGTGGGCGTCGCCGCGCGGCGCACGTAACGAAAAACGAAACGAGTGCATCTTCCGGCAGAAAATGGCCAGGTTTGTCAGTTTGCTGTACGTAGTAACGAGTGTATTTTCCACCTTTTGTGGGCAGATGCACTCGTTTCGTTTTCGTTTGCCATGCGGCGAGGCCCTGTTTCTGATTATTTCAAAAACGGTGGCTACCGGTACCCTCTCCCAGGCAAGTCCCACCGGAAACGGAAAACGTGAGGGCCTGCTACCGGTACCCTCTCCCAGGCCAGGATGTGAAAAAAAAAAAAAAAAAAAAAAAAACAAAGGCCACGCGGTACCACTGGCCCAGGCCACCTCCCGTTTTTTAGCAGGTAGGTCATCTAACGCGCAGTTCACTGTTTTTCTTGCTGTTTCGAACTGCTCACGGCCCAATCTTGCAGTGGACTGTTATTTCTGCGAATTTTGAACTGTGCAGCAGTCACCGGCGCAGTTGTCTCAAAAAACAAACAAACAATAGTAATAATAAATTCTCCATCTTGAGGTGACTCCCCGTGGGTCCTTGCAATCCATCTGACCTCCCAATGGATGAGTACTACGGGTCTGCCACCACCCTCTACTACACCGTGGACCTTTTTTTTCTTTTTTCTTTTTTTTCTTTTCTTTAAGGCCCTCGCAAATACATTTTGAGTTCTCACTTTTCAGACGGTTGTCTGGCTCTCTGAATTACAAGTTGGAATTCCATTTGCCAAATGTGGTGCACCCATTCGTATTGAAAGGCTCTCACTTTACAGTGTGAGGCAACCTCCATTCACCCTCTTCTTCAGCCCCCTACTTGCTTCTCTCTCTCTCTCTCTCTCTCTCTCTCTCTCTCTCTCTCTCTCTCTCTCTCTCTCTCTCTCTCAACTCTTGTGACGGTCATCTGTTGCCAAGTAGAACATGGAAGAAGTTTGAACTTAGTATGTGAGCCGAATTTGAGTTTCATGACTGTTGCCTCCTTTCACCCCCTGCGGACCTACCCATTCTTCTCCTCTTCCTCCTCCTCCACCGCAAGTGCACTGATCACCATCATCATCATCGTCATGATACTAATCAATGGCTCGCCATCGGCGTCATTGTCTTCGTCAGCATCTTTGTCACCATCGCTGTTGACACCGTCGTCGTTGTCGTCTTCCTCACTGTTGTCCTTGATCTCGTCTTTGTCATCATTCGCATCACTGCCGCTCTGGCCATCGTCGTTGGCGTCGCTGCCACCATTGTTGCCGCCATTATCATCACTGCTGCCATCACCTTCGGCATCACCCTCATTGTTCCCATCCTCTTGTTCATTACAGCCATTGCCACTGTCGTCCACCACCGTCGCCGCCATCAGCCATCTCCATCGCTGCCATTTTTATCCTTTTCGCCGCCGCCGCCGTCGTCGTCATTGTTGCCCTCGTCGTCGTCATCCTTGTCCTTGTTATCCTCAGTGTTGTCTTCGTCATCCTCGTTCGTGTCTTCCTTGTCTTTGTCCTCACTCTCCTTGAACTCCTGGTCCTCCTGGTCCTCCTGGTCCTCCTGGTCCTCAGCCTCTCCTTCTCCTCCTCCTCGTTGTGATCATCATCATCATCATCATCAGCATCATCATCATCATCATCATCATCATCATCATCATCATCGTTATCGTCATCCTCATCATCATCTTGGTAATTATGATGAAGAGAATCAAGAAATCCTTTTTTTTTTTTTTTTTTTTTTTTTTTTTTGTGCCCGATGGACCACGGATCAGATACTAAACTGTTCAGAACAGATACTACACTTGATCTTAGCCAAAAGGCTGAGAAAGGTATTGAGATGATGAAGAGATGCTTCCCTCCTTTCTTTGTCAAAACCGTCCCCTTGGAAAAAAATTGGGAACTCGCATTCATAGGAGTTAAGTATATCCACTGCCCGGCCCCTTTCTGTGAAATCCAAATCTCGGCCCAAGTATGGAATCTGAACGCAGGGCAGAGGATAGGGGGGGGAAGGCGGGGTGCTGGGGAAATGGAAGCCAAGTGACAAGGGGATCTGTTTTCTGAGCCGCTCATTCTATGGAGTACGAGCCTCTAGTAGTTTATGATTCTCTTGGTTTCTTCTGATGTGGTGAAGACTCCATGTGAGCGATGTTCTTTACAAGTTAGATTATCTGCCGCCACCTTACAGTTGGCACTCCACAGATGGTCTTTCCTTTTTGTGCACACTCTACGACGAGTCTACAGTGAGACTTGTGCAAGCAACATCCAATGCCCCTCCTGCCTACCAAGGCAAACTCAATGCATCGACGGTATGGAAAAAGATTGAAGAAGTTCCTTCCATTCTTTCTCAGTTATGTGGAGTTCTTCTCAACACCAATAATCTAAGACAGCTTTGATCATGGCGTTCATGCCTCCTTGAAATAGAGTCGAGTGACCTGCAATCTTCACTCGCTTCTTATCAAAACCATCTCCCGCATTTCTCGCTTGAAATTCCTCTGGCACCGCCAATAAGGCGCATCCGTAGCATGCAAGAATCTCCTATGAGACTTGTAAGACCTCAAAATCAAAAGTCGTCTGACTAGGCCGTGTGAATACCTTGCCAGACTATAAAAACAAAGCCTAGCACTATTTGAGTGGTCTCTAGGCGATTTCTGGTCTACTGACTGTGACACAGACAAAAATCCAATCCTGGGTTCTCTTGCCTCACGGGCAATTTTCTTTCGCGAATATGTCCGTATTAAATACTATAATCAGTGTTGCACAACCCGACCGTCTGTGCCCCTAGACTGGTCGGCTGCCGACCAGTTGACCTGTCGGCTGGTCAGCACCTACCGGGCGGGGGGTCGTCAGCACCCTGCAAAAAGAGAAGAAAAAAAGCAAAAACAACGCGTCCAGAACCCTTAATATCCCCACCAACACCCCCAACCCCCCCCCCAAACACTCTCATACTCCCCCCCTGCCCGATACCCCTCCTCATCCCCAAAGTTTCTCAGCGGATTTGGGCTGTACTCGGCAAGCGCAGTACAACCCCCAACTCAGATTTGAAAAAAAAAATCAGTGGATGGCTGTTTCCTGATTGATTGGCAGACCGCCGACTGGTCGGCCCTACTGGTTGGCTGCAAAACGGTCAGCGGTCGGGGTCGGTAGTCGGCAGGTATGCAACCTTGCTATGAATAAATTTAATTATCTGTTCTTTGTTTTGGGCAACTGTCTTTTGCCATACATCCCCCCCCATCCTTCCCCCCCCCCCCCCCTTCTTGCCCCCCGGAAGGGCAATCTGATCGTGTCTCAAATTCTTCAAATTCTTTGTATCAGAGCTTTGGCTTGTTTTCTGTTGTGCTAATAAAGAGTTCACAAACTTGTTTGCTTTGCTTTGTAGGGCTTTTGCGAAGTTGAAGTTTGTTGACAGAGAGCTGTTTGAGGTCATCGGCAACCATTCGGGAACGGTTATGGCAAACATGTGTGCTAGAGATGTTTCAAACCTGATCTGGTACGTTCGTCGTTCTCTCACACTGGCTCATTAAGTACATACTGCCTGTTTTTCCTTTTTCTAAAGGGAGGAGCACTTAATGCCAGCGCATTCAACAGCATTTGAACACTAGATCGGTTTATGAATAGTTACGTGTGCATAGCATTCAGCCATCCTGCTTTCCTGAACGAGGTCAAGTGACATCCTCTCCTTCACAATAGAAAAATAGAGGAGGGAATTGAACACAGCAGGTGCCATGGTTGCTCGTTGCAGTTCTTTTGTTGGCCGTTTCGCGCAGCCAAAATATCCCAACCTCACAGAATACCACTACTTGCCCTATACCAGTACTTGCCCATGTGGTGAATGCAATGTGACAAAGTCTCGGATCGCTTATATGTGTAAACTGATTCAAGTTCATTCAACACATATGGTTTACATGTAAACCATCTATACCACATGCAAACCACATCGGAACCACCTGCAAATCACATGCTAGCCACATGGGAACCACATGCCAACCACATGTGCACCAGATGTAACAACATGTGAACGAACCACTTGTTCACCACGTCTAAACTACACATTAACTGCGCATGTAAACCATAGTTTGTGCTATGATCCTTGTCATCTCTCAATACAGGATGAGACGATGCCATCTATAACAACTCAAAGAGAAGAAGAACGAGTCTAGGCAAAAAGAGGAATGGAGGAAAGAAAAAGAAGAAGGGAAACACAAGCAGGAACCAATGTTGTCTCCCTCCAATATCTTGCCACGATCTTCTCTACGTCTTCATCCCCTCCAACACATAATAAACAACAACCAGTTCCACCGTATGCTCTCTGGATTGAATTGAGTTCGCAGTGCGCTTCTGACACTGTTGCCACTTCGTGGCCTGGTTTCCTCAATGTCCTGGCACGTTCGATTTTCAACGTCGTTGTACGACAGAAGGCGTTGTGTGATCTTGTAGCGGATCGGCCTTGCCGAACACGTCCGGGCAATTATCCCACCAGCAGCTCACGTTCACGAGTATTCCGTTCAGCTGCGTACATGGTCCGGGTTCAACCAAGGGCTGGCTATTACCAGTGATCAACGCCCGAACGATCCCCCTTACTGCCAGACTTGAGAGAGCTCTCCTTCAGTTCACTCCCCCTCTCTCCTCTACGTTGTATATGGCTATTAGCTATGTCTGTCCTCCGAATTAAGTCGATGTCCGATCGGAACCCCAACAGGGCCTACTTGACGCAGTGCCAACCAGGAAGATGACAGTGGAGTCCAGAATAGCCAAAGGCAAGTCTCCTTGCAGGTTCCCACCTCCTCCTTCCTCCGTCAACATCTGTCTACTACCATAGCCCGGTTAGGGGTTCTTCTTGCTCTACCACCATAGCCTAGGGCTTCTCCTCCCACTCCCTACTCCTCCTTCATAACCATGGAGGTCATCTTCCTTACCCTCAAGCTCCACCTTCACCACTGGGAGCTCCTCCAACGTCTCCCTCTGGGTGGAGTGCAGCTTCACTGTGTTTAAAGAGACCCTCATTTGCCCATTGCACCGAATTATGTACTCTCAGTATCGAGTAGTACCTTTGACCAAGCCTTACCTGCCTCTGGCCGGCCTCCCTTGGGTGCACTGGGACAACCGAGTGTTCTTGCTTTCGGCGGGAAACCCTATGGCACACTGTCGTCTACCTACAGAGCCTGAACCTAGGCTTCTGCTGGCCTACATTCAGGCCCTGGACCATCGTCACCTACCGGACATCTACCGGCCCCTTCCAGGCGCAACTGACTGCTGGAAAATCCCTACTGCCCTCTAACAAATTCTACTTTTGTCCCTGGGTGCTTCTCTACTCCCAAGATGGGTGCTTCTCTACTCCCAAGATGTCCCTGTTGCTATTTTGTTGTCCCGTCGTTCATCCTACCCCTATTTCTACTTTGTCCCTGTCCGAGGGCTCCACCACACATCATGGTCGACAGAGTTAGCACCACGAGGATCGTACTGGGGCCCAGAACTCAGCAGCCAAGCACATGGCATACATACATCAGCACCAGATCACATACATACTTAGAAAACACAGTAAAACAGACGCACACTCAGATTTATCAGAATCAGACCGAAAAAAAGCAGGAGCTTTCTCAAAGTTTATGTTTCTGGAAAAACAAAAACTATAGTTGAGGGTTTAGGGTTTAGGGTTTGGACAGAATTAGGGCAAACAGGGTTCAGAATAGCAGAGTTTTCATGTGGCTCACATGGAGGATTTACAGTATAGACAAAATTGGCAGCTTTGGCAGCTTCTAGGACCTTTCTCGCTGGTCATGTTTTATACGACAGGTTTTTGCAGTAGACCTGAGAGGAAAGGATGAAGCAGGGCAAGCTGACAGTCAATCCTCCACGATATTGGAGCAATCAATGCTGGTCAGGGGTCCTTCGTCCGGACGGAAGGAAGCGTGGGTGAGTACTTATGATGTATCCTGTTATTCCGGCTTGCCGGTGGAATAGGAACCGGACTGAAGCTCCCCAGAATGGAAATGGAGCCAGGACCATAATGGCCTGTTAAAAAAAAAAAAA